ATTTTGAAAAGATATTTGATATTTGGCAGTCAGTTTCTACAGTTCAAGCTCTATACACTCACACTTCTTATCGAAATCAGTCATCGAATGCAGTTCCAGGAACACCGTCCGGTCCGTCTGGCTCTCATGTGAAGAAGGGGGTTTGAGATAATGCACTTGGAAATTGCATTTTGTTTACTTGCATATTTTAGCTAGGCTATGTTTCTCCTTGTACCTGTAGATCTGTAGAGTCTTCTCATCTCTTCCCTCGTTTTCTATTCCTATTTATTTAGCTTTTCGTTCTGTTGTTATACCCTATACCCGTCACACGTTGATTAAGAGGGTATACTAGATTCGTTGAAAAGTTTGTAAAAGGTAGAAGGAAGCGTTTCCGACCCTATAAAGTATATATTTTCTTGATCAGGATCGCTAGCCCCGTCGATCTGATAATGTTCGTCCGTATAAACGCTTCGATCTCAGGAACCATAAAAGCTAGAATGTTGAAATAAAGCATCCAGATTCCAGAAATATAGACGCAGCCAAGTTTGTTTTCTGATATTACGCCCACATACCGCCATAAACTGCCACGCCCATACATTCGAAAAAGTTTTTAATTTTTTCATTTTATTATTATATTTGTACATTTTTATTGATATGCCACAAATAATGTTAAGATTGTCAGTTTGCAATCCCTCTAGCTGAGTTACGGGTATTTAAGTGTCGAAGAACGCGATTATATCGTTATTTCTTGTTTTATTTTTTTTTTTCGTGTGCCAAAAATGTTTTCATTATTTCTCTCTGCACTCGGTATTCACTTAAAAGCAAGCTTACCATTATATTAAATTATATCAAAGATTATTTATATTCAAAAAACGTGCTGCATTCACGGGCAATAAGTCTGTGATCACAAACTGTTTACAAGTCAAACTTCAGTTAAGAACTCAACCATTTTTTGCAGTGCTTTTCTTGTCCAAGGCCTTAGAGGTGGAGAAAGAATCGAAGTCATGGGACGGATAAGGTTACCTTTTTACAAGAGTTGCGCTTTTTAGTACTTTTAATGTATTTTTGGGTGTCCCATGCAGCCCGGAGTCCAGAAATCAGGGGATGGGGAACTAATAATCAGTGGCGAATGAAAAGTGGAAATAGACTCAGGTGGCGAAAAGGAGGGGATGTGGCGAGAGAGAGTGGAGATCCGCTTTTAATGCCGCATGTTGCATTGCCAGCATTTTACTAGAATTCTCGATGTTGAATTGAATAATAAAATGAAACGAAACGAGTCAATTGAGAGGGGAAATGGGAATGGTCAAAATTTAAAACATGAAAATAAATTAACCACAAAAAATTGCGAGGAAACCCAAAAATAAACGATTCAACCAAAGAAAGCGGTTTGTTCTGCTCCCCGTAATTATGTACGTTCTACAAATTTTACCGTTTGTTTTTGGGTTTTAGTCGGAAAAAGGCGTGACTGGACAGGCACATGCATTTTTATTAAACATTTTTGCTGCCGGAACGCGAAAAAACAAAGGAATAAAACATTGGCATAGTTTACGGCAGGAATGCAGAAACCAAACCAAGCGAATTTAATTTTGATTAAATTGTCTTAAACTAATTTTGAAGTTTTGCATAGCAGTAGGTTTAGAAATTATGTATATGACAGTAATCTTAATAATAACAAGAATAAACGCTATAGTCGACTTTCCGAGTGGGAGTGCTAAAATGAAATTGAAAAATGTTGGCAAATCGGATCAAATTGGTCTAAAAACAAAATAATAACAAAACAAATGTAATCGTAGGCGGACGACAATAAAACGCAATAAAATTACCATTTTAGGCGGTTTGTGGGCTTTAGAGTTGGCTTTCCAAATTTCCGTTTTGATTTTTGATCCATAACAAAAATTTTCTCAGGAATCACTTGCCTGAAGCCAGCTAAAGAGAAGGCTGTGAAAATACCCTCGAGCTAAAAGAAATGAACTTAATCGTTTTCTCTTCCAATGCCACAAAATATTTTTGCATTGTTGCAAACAGTTTCGGTTTGTTTCGCCTGTCAAACCTCATGCTGTCATGTTGTATGAGGTGGCAATGCAAGAACAAAGTTGTCACAGAGTGAAAAGGCACTTCGAATGTCTTAATTTCGAATAGAGCCAAAATCAGTTGGGCTGCAGTTTCAGCTGCAATACAAGCATGATGTTGTAGCATGTGGCATGAAGATGTGGCACTTGCAGCAGCACCAACTTGCGTTGGCATGTGGCAGGCCAACTTGCCTGGCAAGTGCCACACTGTGGCAATTGTGCCCTCGTCCACGTTCAGCACCAGTTATACCGACGGTTTGCCTGCTTCGCCCCTCGAGTTCCTCTGAATATAACTCCTGGCCACGTTGGGGTCATCCACATGATCGCTATGTCCCTGTCCGTCGGGCATTTTGATTGAAATATGTTTGTTCGGCTGTGACTTTTATGCTGCCCTTTTCCCTTTTATGGTCCAAAAACCATAAATGGTGACTGAAGGAACTATGTGCGAACCAACCGAAACCGAACTGAAACGAATTCTTTTCTGGCTTTATTTTACTTCACATAGAAAATTAAAAAATGTAAAATTAAAAAATTGTTGAATATATCTAATAACCATATTTCATATTTAGAAATATTCCTTAACATTGCATAACAATTTAAAGGCTTGGAAAATATTGTTAGTACCATAAAACGTATTTTTATAAGGCGAAACCTTCTGAGTTGTGCAGTACGCCATTCCTTCGGGTCCATGCCAAAATCGAGAGTAATATGAAGGAGATTCAGAGTGTTACACATCGAATACTCCTGTTAGTGTTCTTGCCGTCAATATTGTTAGACATTTCAGTGGCACACCCACTAGACCGCACATCCGCGGAGCGGAAACAACAACTCAAACTGTTGCACCATTTCCGGTGACTTCAGTGTCTGCCAGATGAAACAATCCACAGGAATGTCGTCCAGGAAAAGTTTATAAAATGGAGTATTCAATGATGATACATAATTATTTTTTATGACAGACAGAAAAGAAAACGATATAGTCCATTTCTTTGACTATAAAATAGGATCAATAGGTAGAAATTGCTACATTTTGTTTACATAGGGATAGCAATTTACAAGACAAATAGTAAAAAAAAAAAACATTTTTCATATTAATAGACCTGTACCTTTTTGGAATCTGCTTGCTTAATATAAGCTTTTTAGCTTTTACAGGTCTCGAGATCATAGTGTTTATACGGCTTGCATCGTTATTATTAGTAGCTAATCTCCTTGAGTTTTACCCGAGGTATCCGACCAATTGCACCTCTTCCTTCTGAGCATTGTTTGGATTCGGTCACTGGATTGTAAAACTTTTTTTGCTTTCCTTTTAATTTATTTTATTACAAAATGCAATCCCAAGCTCAAGTGTCATAATCGTATGTTTGTTCGGTGTAACTTTCTTTGGATCCATACAAAAACCGATCCGAATCCCATGCGAACAGAAAGCGAAAAGGAAACTAAATATCTGACTTTACAGGGAGACCGGATAGAAATTGGCTGATGTTTATTTTCTTTTATCCTCTGGTGCACTATTTCCCCCAATTTTTGATTTCCATCTTTGTTAGTAGCTGTTGTAGCTGATTCCTCGGGTATCATATTGATTTTGTAGCAAAAGCAACACGCAACTGCATTATTTGCCATACTGACAGCCCTTTTTAAGGAGCTGCGATTGCTTTCCTAGTCCATATGATCCGAGGGTCGTCATTACTTGTCTGCCTCTTTGTCCTTTGCGTATTGCTTAAAACTACTTGAACTAAACTGCTGAATACCATGCACTTGCAATATTCTCGAATCCAAAACCCGACATCCCCGCTCTTTCGTTGTTAACCAGGTATTGACTATCTGACAAAACGTTTTTTCCATTGGAAATACGTGTGCAGACATTTGAGAGCACAAGGACACTTGACAATAGCAGCAGGACCCTCCGCCTCTTTTTATCTTCGTTCTTTCCCCAAAAAAAAATAAAAATGAGGAACTACGAGATGTAATATGAAAATTTACAATCAATATACATTTCTAGTCTTTCATTCTAAACATTTCCTGATTGTTAAACAATTAGCAACTGATTTAGTAGTAGTAAACAGGATTCAGCACGCTTATTATCGCACTACTGTGATGACCTCGCCACCCAGTGCAGATTCCTCGACCTGATCTCATTTGTAGTCCGTCGAAGTCTGTAAGACCGAGAACACTAGTGATCTAATCTTAAATAGAATTCACAAACAATATGACGTATACCGTCGTGTGGCCGCGTCAATGCGTCAGCTGTGCATTTGCCGCGTGTGTCATCGATTGCAGCACAAGAGCAGTTAGAGCTCTCTATATGTAGATCCCCGACGGCGGTGACTAATACGCCAGTCGCCAATGTGGGTCAGACATGAATTTGCATTTGGCCAAGTCTATTTCGGGTCGATGGCGTCAAATGCAGAAAATATTTCGGTCATAAAATCAGCGACAGCATTGCGAATTAATCATACGACTCGAGTTGAGTTAAGTGTGCGGTACCAGGCAAAAAATGTTTATGTAAACCTTATTGTGGGTCTAGACGAGGAAATACTCTGCATATATCTACAAATTAAATGTACATTAAAATACTAATTTAAAAATTGATTCATAATAGATAAACGTAGAAAGCTTAAAAACTTTTCACTCACGTGAAAAGAAAAACAAATTTTTTTTTGCGGCTTTCTCGAATTCTCTTATAGTTTGGACTTAAAAAAGTTCACAAGTTACAGTATCCGATACGGAGGCGATGGAGGCGGAGGAATAGTTAGATAAAATCAATTGACATGATTTTCATACGAATCGTCATAACAACAACAGTGCTAACCCATATATTACAGCTCACTCCGGTTTGTGGTACGAATGTTGGTTGGCCCCCAAATACGCAAATGTATCTTCGTAATCGATCAAACTTGGACCCTTGCAGGTAACTATGGGTGACCAATTCCACTTGGTTGTCGTCGAGGCAAACTAACCTAAGCCAAGTCGAAAGACGAAGCGTTGGCCAGAAATCAGTTGGGCAACAGCGAGCCAAGTAGCTGGGACGCTCGTCGAAATCCAGATAATATAAAATCCAAACAAACCACGGAAAGAGGGACCCTACACTCCACAAAAATATGTGCGACTGCGGCTGCTACTCCTACTGTCTGCAAGACAGCTCCTGCTTCAGCCACTATCACTCGCATTCTCACTTGCACTCGCATCACTGCTGTGCGGGCTATAAATATTTGAAGTGCCTCTGCCGCTACTATCGTCATGGGCACTGCACCTGCTCCTGCTGGCGGCGGAAATGCTATCTGCTCTAAGTTGGATAAGGTCCCTTTCCAGGACAAGGATGAGGCGGAGATCCACGCCAAAGAGTCAGCACCACACAAATCACAACTCAAACAACGCAAATCAGTAAAGAAATCACAAGATGAAGTCCTTTAAGCAGTTGCATAACACTTGGCTACATCCAATGGAGCAGGAGTGAAATGGAAAATGAAAAATAGTGTGGAAAATACAGAACGGAGAATCAGAAAGGGAGAGTAGCAAACAACTAGCGTCCATACGGATCGTATGTGCAACGTTTTCAGTTGTTGTGTGAGTGAGTGTGCATGTGCTTTTGCCTGTGAGTGAAAATGGTTCAAGGATGTGGCTAACATTGTTATCGACTGCGTTTTGCATCTGAAAAATCCCCACTCACACCAAACATACACCTAAACCCAGTAAAACAAATCGTATTAGTGCCTAAGTATTACTTCACACCCCACAATATATATTCGATAAACACCCAGAACACATCGTTACCGAACTAAATGCATTCAATGCTAGATCGTAGTTCGTACCGGCCGACGTTCGAGTTTTTTGCCATATTTGTTACGTTTCCAATTTAAAAACAATCTAAAAATAAAGTTTTACTCCAACACTACTAAACATATGCACTTTTCTATGACAGGGAAGAAGTATATACATATATGGAAAAATTTATAATCTATTGTGAATTAATATACTAATGAATTCAATTTTCTGCGGAAAGAAACCAAAATGGGATTCCCTGCATTTGGGTTACGTGTTGAGATTATCTGTTGTAAATGTATAATTTTTCGTGGAAAACTTTATGATTTATCCAGAATTACTTGCTCTAATTATCTATTTCAATCCTAGCTGTGTTCTAAATTATAAACCTTATGCCACGTAATTTCTACACAGGATCTACATTTTTCCCCATCGTAACCACCTTTTCTGACTTCATTCATTCCTAGCTTGGTGTTGGAATTTTCCGACTGCGTTTTGAATATCAACTGATAACTCAGAATTAGCGGAAAGGGATGGGATCCTAACGGTGACTAAAACTGGAATGGAGGTGTATCAGTTTCGGTATTGTATTTTGATTATCCTGCAATGCAAGTGCTGTGCAGGGGGGTACAATTCTGTTAACATTTTTTTGGCATATTGTAAAAATTTGTCGATTATTTTAGGGACAGCTTCAAACAACTTTTTTCAAGGATTATAAAGCAAAAAGCAAAAAAAAAAAGGCGAAACATGTACTCTTTAATACAACTGTTTTAATAGATCCATCTTTTACCAGATTCCTCATATGTTGCCAAATCCCAAACTAGTTTCTTTCGTACAGTCTCGGTAATGAAGTCCACACCCACAACCGACAAGTTTTTCTCATACGCCCGCAACCCCATTTCCTGACGCCCTTCTCCATTTTTCCCTTTTCCCCAATTTTTATGGCGTCGCCTTCATTAAATTTTCCAGCTGACTAAATTTAAATTGCGCATGCAGAAAAAAGCTCACACTCGCAACAAAAAATTCTCGTAAGATTGGGGGGCGGCAGGTGGACAAAGAAGAGGCGTGACCGTCGACAAAAACGGCGCTTGAGTGCAACAATGTTGCCGCAACATAATTATTTGGTGCTTTATGCGCTTTTATGCTCGATTACAGCTCCTCCTTTGTTTGATTCTCTGGCCATTTCTTTTTTGTTCAGTCCTCTGGTCACTAGAATTAAAAACAAGATATTACTCAAGTAATGCGAGTGTTCGATAGATATTTAAAAATTGTCTTGGTAGACATTTGCAAGACAATAAACAAAAAAAAAGAAATTCAAAGTTTGGGCGTGAAACAAGTTTGCACAACGTAGCCGGCATTGCGTGTCCAACCTCTTTTTAGCTTACAGAATGATTCCGATCAAGAATATATACACTTTATACGGTCTGAAATTCTTCCTTCTATATGTTACATCCTTTTCAACGAACCTAGTATTCTCTTTTGCTCTGCGAGTAACGGGTATGAAAGCTCACTGTTGTAGGGTTCATAACTGACATGCGCAAACACTTTTCTAAAAATTAATAATGATATCAATTTCATTTTAAAGAAAATCTACAATAAATGACGTAGAATGAAAATCTTGTATTTGGAGTCTACCTTTTGTTAAACCCATTATATGTTGATCAGCAATTGAATACAATTTAAGTTAAATCTATATTTATCTTAAAATGTAATTAAACTTTTAACTTTTTAAGTCTAATTCATGTAGAAGCCTTCCAAAAAATTGGAAAATTAGATTTTTATTTCCCCTTTAAACTTCACAAGGCATTCAAAATCGGTCTAATAGGAACTTGACAATGTAGCAGCTTCCCCATTCGGCCCCTCGTTCCTGACTTAACCCATTACATCAATTGTAGCTCTGGTCTCAATCAGTTTGTCAGTGGTTCCTTTTTTCACTGTTTGCTAGCTCTATTAGCATCCGCATGACACAAAATACTCTGACCAACAAGTCTGCGAGCCCCCTCCGCCATTTCAACCTATTTTTGCCTCCGTCTGCGACTAGCTCCTTCATTATGTCTGTCTGCATTTGGCGCAACAATGTTGCAGTTGAGTTATGCTCAAGAGGCGGAGATGAACAAACAACTTAAGCGCTTAAACTTGAAGTTTTTATTTATTTTAATTTTGCTTAGCCCTCTTATGCCCCTCAACATAATCTCAAGCTCTCCGCAGCCCTGGCTTGCTGATAAAAAAAAATGGTTTAGTGCGACCAACGACGCCGACGAGTTAATGATGCTTTTGGTCCCAACATGCTGGCCTCCGTTTTCTGTTTCTCAACGAATTGGACTGAGTTGCCAGCCCTCAGGCTAGACAACAATTGCAAATCATTGAAGTCATTAGCACGTTAAAAGAGATGGCTGCTGCAGTGCGAGGGGAAGAAAAAGGGCAGAGCAAGCGGAAACTTTATTATCTGCTTTTTTTTTCCAGCCCATTTGAAATCAGAGTTTACTATTTGGCGATAAAATCTAAAGTTAGTCATTGGTTAGCAAACATTTCTTACTCTTTGAAAAGTATCCTTACCGTTGAATGAATTATTAATGTAGTATTTTTCATTACCTGTGATAGCACAAGAAGTAATTTTTTTTCGGTATTGATAACTTTGTCGTTAAATACTTTCCAAATAGAGTTACTTCCGCAGAGGATAGGGTATGCAAAACTACAAAATATATTTTGCGAACTCACTGTCCCATTGTGTCATCTGTCTTGCACCTACATGCCCCTGTCCTTCCCGCTCGTTCTGTCTGAACCCATTTTCTACCCCCTCAAAACCCCTCATCTGTCCTGGTTTCTGTGCAAGCAATCGCAATCATCTTTACTTTCTGCCGCTGGCGCAGGCGCACCATTTTTGCAGTCCATCTGCATTTTTTGCCGTTTTTATCTTACCCTTTTTTATGTTGTAAATGCAATTCATACATTTCCATTGAGCTGGCTGTCTGCAGCCCCCTTAAACTCCATTTGGCCCGTCTGTAGCTGCAACAATGTTGCTAAGTGAAGTGCTGGCAAATGTGTAAAAAAAGAATTGCAAATTTTTTTTGCCGTTGTTGCAGTTGCTTTTTGTGTGTTGTTTTCTGTTGCGCAGTTTTCGCCATTCGCCTTTGTTGTCGTCTGTTTGGTTGTGCCAACAACAAGTCGCTGCTTTGGCCACACATTTTCTTTTTGCGTGTCTGAGTGCTTTTCTGCAGATTTCATTCCCCGTACCCTCACTGGTATTTTTCGTCTTTATTTTCATATTTTTTACCTTTCTTTTGTTAGTTCTCTTGTTATTGCCGCTGCTAATTAAGACTTGGAACCAGCGCAATTTAAATTCAATAAACAACGCAAGCCTTGACGAACAAAAACAAATCGGTATTTTACCATGAGAATTTGTTTGGCCTTATATAATGACAGCTGTGACGGGTTTTGATTACACGGCCGAAAGCTGAATGTAAAAGCTATATAACAAATTTGCAAAAAAAAAGACGAAAGTTGAGTAAAAACAAAACATCATTAAAAAAATAACTATTTTAATTTTTAGTGTAATTTTGCCTAATATGTGTCAAAGTAAGACCCAATTTCAAATTTCTAAGGAAATTTAAGCCTGACTATATGGATAAGTCTTTATGAATATCTGACTAATCGTAGATATCTCAAAAATTATAAAATAAAGAAAGTTTGGATTTCTATTTCCAATTTCTATTGATTTGAAACAAAGACTCCAGTTTCAAACTTAAACTAGTGTATCATATAAAATAATACAGTTTCGACCATTTTCCATAGCTTGCCATAAATTTGGACCGTTACTACTTTCGGTAGACTCCCTAAGGCCCTTTTTTCGGCACTCTGTTATCACAGCACGGTATTTATCAGCATTTTGTATCTTATTCATAGTCTTCCATCAAAGACTCCAACTATTGAACATACATTTTTTGACAACTACATCATTAACTAAATTACATTGCTAGCGAATTTTTCGCGCTTATTGTTATTGTTATTTAGGCCTAAACACAATGTACACACATATAGCATACTCTGCCTCCGCTACAGTCTGCGTCGCTGTCGGGGTTTGTTTACAAAACAAAATCTCTTTTTTCCAGGTCAAATTTGTTTACATTCCGCTTTAGAAACTGGGTCACTATGAAGCGTGTGCGAGCGAGACGTTTATCCTTGGGTCTTTCATGGCATGCGGGCGAGGCTACAGGGCGTCGGTGACAAAGTGGCGACAATGCATGGGCAGAAGGGGTGGGAAGTTTGCAACTGCTGACAATTGCTGTTGCCGATCGTGTTGCGCTTGTGTGTGCACTATGTGTGTGCTATGTTGTGGTTGTAATTGTTATTGGCAAAACTGAAATCGCCGTCAAAACAAGAACACCAATCACTTGAGGCCACCAGCCGTGAACAAGTACGGATAACGAGACTTTCGCCTTGTAAGAAAACCAGTGTGGCTAAAATTAGAGTGGCCAGAATTGGTAAGATACGGCCAATCCACACGTTCTTTTGCGAATATAACATATTTAACCTCAAAATTGTTTGTAGGCTTCCTTCGATGCTCGCTTTATTAGTTGTATACAAAACAATTTTTTGTAATATTAATATCGATGCTTAAAAACGTAAAATACTTCAAAAGACTTTTTGCTTCAAATTTGGTCCCACTTCGCACTATACCATTTCAAGATTGCAATTAGTTGATTTTGGAATATCCGCTGGAAATGTTATTTTGTTACATCAACAACAATTACACGCCCCAATGCAATGAGGCACGGGTCCCTCACCACACAATTTAACACATTCCAAAAGTGTGTGTGTGCAATTTGAAAGTTATTTGTGTCAATGACAAATGATTCGAATTCATCGAAATGTTGCAATTTGTCAAAGTATGGTTGGCCTGTGTGCGAGCGTGGTCGTGTTGGCATAAAGTCGATGCGGATCTATGAGGCAACCTTGA